GCACCAGCACTGGATACAGTTCAAAAATTCACTAATCACTCACCACACAACCAAGAATGTTTTATCAACTCAAAATCCACAAAGATCAAATAATATTTTTAATCATTCAAAATAAAATGAATGAGAAAAGTAATCCTTCGAGTCTAATTCGCACTGTCACTTTAGTCCGTATCTAAACACACACTAAACAATTCACAAAATCACTTGCACTGAGTCCCGCACTTTGTATTTTCACTGTTCACACGCGGCGCCGGTTTTTTGCGCTCACTAGGACCCCGATGTTAACGAATTTTAGCTACGCGACGCGCGACCACCTGTTCCACGCGCGGTCGCGGAACGACTGACTCCCCACTGAAAATGGCAGGGCGTTGGAGACGGCGCTCGAGTGGGGGGGGTCCCCCGGCGAGACTCCGCGCGTGCGCACAGAACACTTCCCATGCGCACAGAACACCCTGCATGCGCACAGAAGACCGCTCGAGTGGGGGTCGCCAGCGATACTCCGTTCATACGCACGCACACCGTCCATGCGTACGGAGCACCGCGGGCAGTCTCAATTTGACGAGATACGATAATTGCGAAAATTCTTAACCTAATAAATAATTCTCTTTTAAAAAAACAGTGCAATCACGTAAAATCCAATAGTCAGTGAAAAATAATTGATTGAAGAGAATTTAGCGTGTGGATTTTGGTCTTGACCATCAAAAACACTTCGATTGTATCTCTGAAACGGGAATTGGAGTATCAGATACATTGAATTATGTTCTGTTTTCTAATCCCATCAGCTCGAGTTCGTCGGTTCGTCTGCGAAAACTGCTGCATCACCTGTAAGTCGCTGTTATTTTTTAATAAAAAATAAGAGGAATCAATTTATTTATTGTTATTGCCTGATTTATTTTATTCTATTTTTGAAACTTTGAGGTCATGTAGATACCACACATCCCATAAACCAAGGCCATATTTTAAATTTTTTCCTGCTATTTTAAATTATCATTTTTTAAATAGTCCCACCAGTGCCGAACAGCTGCAGAGTGGGGATGACATGGAGATGAGGGGAAGGTGATAGTGATCGCCGCGCTGTCTCGTGCCGCCAGAGAGAACTTGTCCCCTGTTTTTGGCTTGACAATACCTGCTTGTATCATACCTTATATACCCCGTAATAAAAAGTATTTGTGCTTCAGCCTCTATAACAACCACTAGCACATTTCGGGATATCTTGCTTTCCGCGATTGGTGTTGGGACAGAAAATCAGTCGTGCTTGAAAGCCCTTTCGAGTTTACTGGGACTGCTTGACGTTGTCTACAGATAAGAGTTCTCGTTGAACTGTCAACTTGTATTTTGTATACGACAGTGTAGCCCCGAACGTCAATTCGTTGAGCAAATCAATTGAATCAAATCGGTAAGTGTCAAATTCTTCATGCCTCACCTCAAAACAATCAATTCAATGACATCCAATGTTGATTTTGTGACATGCCAGGAATCGTCTTGGGAGTAAGCTATAAATTGATAGTTTACCACTGACCTAGTGAACAATTGGGCGGGTCGGTGTATATTTGGTGGTGTATTTTACAGTGGATACTACTGCCAGGCTAATTCAACCTGACGTGATTATTGGTGTCTGAGTACTTAACATACTCAATTGAAAGTGATAATTATTCTAATTGAACAAGTCTTGCATTTACCCACCCCACGTATCCATCCAAATAATCTCTCGTTATTTTCATTTTCTTGTTTGCACTTATAAGAAAATTCATTGAAATTTGAGACTCTCGTGGGCTTGATTCATCGTTACTCGAACGAGTATTCGAGTGTCAGTGCATTAATCCTGCAATTAATGATCGAGATACTACTTGGATATGCATTACTCGTCCATCCTCTCCTTTCGCCGACAAAGGCCTAATAAAAAATATTAAAACTTTCATGCAGCCACTTGGCAAGTGTAATTTCATCTGTGCGCTCGGAAACACTCGATTCCATTCTCTCAAGAGGAACTCTGAATATTCCATTGTGTTCTAAAGAGACTCTTCTGAATATATCGTACAATTCCCACTGTATGAACTCATTTACCGCTAATTTGATTTTCAGAGAATGATTGGAGAGGTGGATAATTAGATGAGGGGCTATTGGCAGGACCATATGTGGTATGATTGCTGGGTTATAGAGATTGACAGTGTCTTTTGTTTTATTGATGTAGTTGACAGCAGTGGGATGATCAATGGTGGCAACAAGCGGTATGGTTTATGAGGAAATTGTTGGAGTGCGGGGCAGCTGACCCCAGCCTCCGCGCAGTCTGTATATGCGCGAGATGCCCCACAATTTGAATTCAACATCTGGCAATTCTGCCAATTCCGGGCCAAATCATCAAGGGTACCATCAAGCTATTAACGACGGACTGCAACCGGAGGTTTGTTTCGTTGTTTTATCGGTATCAGTGGGAGGGAAATAAAAAATATTGGGTGGTCTTTCCGGGGGACCACTCCATCTCGCATTATTTCAACGTGCCTTTCTATTATTCCTAAATCATCCTATTGAAGATTCCATTCAGTAGAAAATTATTAAATTATTGTACAAAAATATTCGTAACTCTCAATTGACGCTGCGACGAGCGATGTAAAGAGACTTGATATCAGATATTAATTTTGAGATATTCTATGCAATAAAAATTACAGTTAAACTTGAATGGTTTTACGGATGAGCTACCCATTTTATTTGTTTGTAATTCAAACTGACTTGAATTTTTTTATACAATTTAAAAAAAAAAATCCCGCCTTTTTTATTGAGCACTCGCAATTTTCAGAGATTCCTATTCGTGGGTGAAGAAATTATGATTATGAAATTACTAGCCTCTCGAATTGATATTCAGTGTAATATTAATGAAAAGATAAATTGACAGAAAGAGCCCGTACGATTCGATGCAAGTCACCTCCGTGGTGCACCAGCGGAAGTTGAGGCTCTTGTTCACAACATCAAAGAAGTCGCTCAACAGTTTCTGTACCACTGGAAGACTTTTCCAATCATTCTACCTCCACCCCTCTCAGCTTGCTCAGACGGCGAGGAGACCCTGGCGCGTAAAAAATACCACCTCAGAGATCTCTTTGTAGCACCCAGCTTCGACGAACTTGACGCTGTCGCTGTTGATACCAATGGCGAACCCAGAAGACTTACCAATAAACAATTGGAGAGCATAAGAGAGAGAGGGTATGTGTTTTTAACTTGTCTTTTTTTTTAAAGTCTCAAATTACTTCCTAACTAGACGCAATAAATCATTTTTGTTCGTCACTCGGCCGAAAAGAATTTTTCTTTTGCGTTTGCATGCCTCGGCTTCGCCTCGAACCGTAAACTCGCAATCGCCAGAAAAATTCCTAATGACCTAGTGACGAAATATACTGTCTGCCGATTTGGTAGTTATGTAGTCCAGTAGTATTGACTTGTCGAATTCTACGTATAGTGAATTTCCTTTCTTTAATAATTCAGTTCGACTGATAGCTGTTGATTATAATATCCATAGTGAATGAAATTGTGAGCTTCTACTCACAAATTCGTGAAAATTCGTAGAGCTTCCATCTGCTTTTATGATCTTTATCTTATTATTCTCTGTTGAAAAAAAAACTGTTGTGAAGCTTGCACAAGGATAAGTACGGAAAGCCGAAGAAACTGAATGCCACTCAATTGGAGAGCATTCGAAGATCCGGGTACGTTAAAAACGACATGTTCACAAAGATTCTTTTTCTTACTAGTTGTCAAATTATCAGTATTGAAAAAAAATGTAATTAACATTTTGAAACTGACTAATCATCACCTGGGGCAAAAAAGTAGTCACGTCAATAGAAAACTTTCACATTCTTGTTTGAGATATCATTTTAGTTCCTTAAGATATTTTTTGAATTGCTAGAGAGACGGGGTACTACAGTTCTAGAGCTAGAACAGTAAATTGTAAATATTGCCTTTCATTATTTATTTTCTCTCAATCAACAGTGATTGTTCTAATTACAAAGCTGACAGTCGATTCCAAAGAATAAAAATACTTGGATATTTCCAGGGAATTTGAAATCGACTCAATAAACTTTACGGGCCAGACTCATCGATGGAGACTCAGCGGACTGCTGCAGAGAGGGCGAGATCGTCGAAGGGAGACTCTGCTGAACGATCTCGCATTGGCAACGAGATTTCTCGTGGTTACTGCACGAGCCAGACTCATATCCCACTGTTTCAGCATCTCCCAATCCTTCAAAGCCCTATTAACCGGATTTCTAAGACTACTCGACATGATCATAGGAGTACCATCCCTCCAAGCTCAGAATTTGGAGGGGAAAATTAGAGAAGAGCGCTGTCGATATCTCGTGGCTGAATTGGTGTGTCGAGCAGAATATGAGGACTCTCTGGAGTTGCTCTGTGGTTTCGTGCGTAAGCAGTTGCGCCGAGCTGCCATGGAGAAATTCGAAGTAGAGCGGGAATCCTCACAATTATTGCCAGTATCCGTGCCATTTGTCTTCGGTACACCAAGTGGCACAGCAGTAGACTTACGATTATTCAGCAGAGATGTAATGAGAAAAGCCATGCCAATTCTCGTGACAATCCTTGAGAGAGAGACCCGTGGATGGTTCCTGCATTTTCGCGAGCGACTCATTTCAGAATTGAGAGGACAGAAAAAAAGTGATGAGGAGATAGAAGAGCAAGTTAATGAGGCAGTAATGCGAGAATATTTACAGAGAGTTTACTCCAATATTCTCATTCATCCAGACATCCAGGCGTTGGGTGATGGAATTGGTCAGCTTCTGGTGCAGCAAGCGCAGTCCATCATCCTGATGCATCGTGCTGTGGAGAGCGTTAAGCGTAAATTAGCCCATGCTAAGGAATCATTACGCAAGAGCATGGAGAGTGAGCACCCTGTTCTCTCTCGTATAGGTCCATGGATGCGCGACAGAATGAGAGAAGCAGAGAGTAATTTCATCGAGGAATGCCAATGGAGCGCCCACGAGGAAGCGCTCTCACTTTGCAGTCTCCAGAACTTACAGCAAACCGTCTACTTCCTCAATCGTGATTTGACGTTTATGCGAGAGAGAGAACCCGTTCTCCTTAAAGAACTTAGAAAAGTTGAGACTCCAACGAGGAATTTTCAGTGGCCAACGCAGATATGGCTCCCCAGAAATTGGATTGTCCGACGAAATTTCCAGGGAACATCAGAAGTGATTCCAACAATTCTAAGCAGCACCCCAACATCGATTACAACCCCAAGAGCAGATCCCAGCCAACCAGTCTTCCTCGTGGAGAGGGAACTCGTCCACACGACAACCACCCGCTGGCCCATGTGGCGATGGATAAACTACATCGCGAGAACTTGGTGCTGGACGTGGAATGCAATGTTTCTCTTCGGTGTTGCAGTACCCTGGTGCAGCAGAGTATCTCTGAGAGCACTTCTCATGGTAGATCCCTTCACCCCGGACTTGGAGTTGAGTCAATTGAATGGAACCCTTTTTCCTCGTAAGTCGTCCCAGACGCCGACCCTGTGCTCTCGTTTGATAGCCCTCTGGCGACACATCAGCAAGAGTCGGACACATTTCGAGACAGAACCCGACACTGGCTTCATCGGTAAAGGAATGACAAGACACATTAACAGACTCTGGAATTACGGTGCGAAAGGCCTCCTGGGTACCCTCTGCATTCTCTTTATATTCCCCATTATCTGCGTCGTAGCTAGCCTCGGTTCCCTCATCATCGCGCTGTCTGCCTTTGTCTGGATGCCTCTAGTGACATTGACACTCCATGCATTCATGGCGCTTGTCATCGACCTCGATAGTCCTGAGGCTAGTAGAAATCGTTACTTCGTCGTACTCGAGGCGCTAATATGGAATATAGGGATCCAGGGATGTATCCAGCCACTGGCTGCCCTCGTGGTGGCACTTTGCATATGTCCCATCATTTCATTCTTCATAATGACTGTTGCAGTGGTACGATACTGGATAAGAGTTGTTTGGGACACAGCCATGTTCCATCTTCTCATAAAGAGCCGTGGAAGAATTCCAGCGAGTGACAGTTTCGTGGTGAAGAGAGTGGCGGGGCCAGGACTTGCATCTGATTATTATTACCAGATAAAACCAGAGCAGGCACTTGCTGCTTTCGAAGCCAAGCTCGAACTCGACGAACTGTTCGCCTTTCAGCACGAGACCGAGCGACTCATTACTCAACCTCAAAGGGATTTCACTCAATTCGTTGAGGCCTGCTTCAGCCCCTTTGCAACCAACTTAGCCAAGACCAAGGATCCCTATAAATCGTTGGAGAAAGAAGCTAGAGATCTCATTGGTGTTCTACACGAGAAACTCGATCGTCGCAAAAAAGATCTGCAAACGGGCCTCGGTGTTGCTGTCAGGAGTAAAATCAAACTGACGACCTTCGATTTGAAGATGGTTATTCAACAAGCAGCACTAATGCTCGAACGACTCTATCCCTCTCACGTTTTATCCCGTCTGAATGGTAATGAGGATGATTTCTGGGAAAACAAGGGACTCAGTGTGGGGGATTGGGCGGGTTTAGCAGGTCTCATGTACGCTGATATTTTCAGTCTAGATTTTTTACAGCCTCTCGACGACACTGACACCAAATTCAAACTGGAGCCACACTCTGGAATTGATCTCTCTAAATATACCAATATGGTACACAGTACTGAACTCGGTGGCATAAATGGGCCTGATTTACTTGGTGCCATATACGTCCCGAGGGGTAATATTCAGGTTCACAGCCCATATTTAGAATTATCGGCGTTCAATCCACGCGCCAAGCAGCCGACCAGCAGTAAAAAATTAGAGAAGATGTGTGAATCGAGTGGTCTACACTCAGCAAGATCCAATCGTAAAACATTGACTGCCATCTCAGGGGGAGATACTCGCTGGCAGCCATGGAAACGTGAAATGAGACCGTATAGCGCTGAAAAACTTCTCATACCCCTTCCAATTCCTCATCCAGCCCACATTGCCATCACAATTCACAATCGGGACTCTGAGGATCCGATACCACTTGATTCGGAGATCTGTCAGAATATTCTCCGAGCCATTGAGGAGTCCCCCGGGGAGATGGTTATTGAGATAGTTGGACGATTTAGAGGTGGGGCAGATTCTAGTTTTGATTCTGTTGCTTCTCAATCGTCGGTATCCTTGGATGCGCCTTTGGAGAAAGAAGTGGAAAGCCAGCAAGCGATCGAGAATAATAAACAGGGGGAGACTTACCATTGGACGCTGTCGAATTGGACCGGAGGCATGGCCAGACGAAGGAAGAACTCTGGCTCCATAAAAGTCGATCTCGCTTCCCCTGAAGATGTTACTCTTGATACAGATACTACGAGAGTGATGTTTAGCACATACGGAACAACTGTCTAAGTTATTTAACTATTATTGGCTTTGATATGATTTTTACTTGTCGCATTCAATTCTCTGTTCAACAGGGAGTGCATTTTTTTAATAGTCCAAATTGTTCGATAATTTAATTTATCAAACGTTCAGTCATTCTAATCCACCTATGCACACCATTTTACGGATAACGTCGGTATTATTTTTTAATTATTAATTTATTAACATCGTGATTATTATTTTTATTGATACTACTTTTTTACGTTTTTTGTTTTTGCTTTTGCAATCGATCCGAGGCTGTCAGTTTTTTCGTTACGTGAAAATATCATGTCGTATGGAACCATTAATGTATATATACAGTTCTCTCCAGGATTTTTATATCACATCTCATTACCTGGAATGAAAACAAACAGAAACTGAAATTGAATCAAGCTCTCTTCATTGTCAAATTTCTGACAAGTACTGCAGCAAGCTAAATTTATATTGAGTTGGAGTAATTCTGTTTGAAATAATGGCATCTTCCAATGCAATTACCCAAATACGTAATTGAACGTGTATTCTGGCAATCAATATGCTAAAATTATCGAAAAAAATTAGTGGTTTGAACTAATGTAGTCGGGACACGAATTAATAGATTTTGAATTTCACGGGTGAATTCTTGGAGAAGATTGACAAACGATGAATCTGAAATGGAAATTGGATGAGTATTAATACAGCGATAGTATAAGCCTATTTAGGTGAGTAATTGGGGAATGATGTACTCTCGGAATTAAAAGCTTCTAAGAAGTTTTCAGGTACTTGTCCTGGGGAAAGCATTCGAGTGGGAGTGAAAAAAATTGATAAGTTCATTGAGCGCCTTTTTAGTTGATTAATGCCAAAAATCTTCTTGATTATAAATAAAATTGTCCAATAACTTGTTATAAATTACGAAATATAGTGGATAAAATGTGAAGTACTAAACCAATCGGCTGTGTGCAAGGTCACTAGATGTTCCACGAGTCTTGATCGCGATTTTATTCGCGAGTAGAAAGCGTTAACTAGAAAGATTTCATCAATAAAAGACAATGAACAAATGAAGCTTGTCTCATTCGATCTCTCTTAGGTTAAACAATAAGTGGTAAAACGATATGCATTCCGTAATTATGTTCAAGATTGAAAAATAGGAGGAAAGAGGTACGCATCATGTTTTACATTTACAGAACAACTATTTCAGATTCCATCCATGAAACTTCAGTCGAAGATTTTTTAATATTTGGATGGCAGTTTTCGGAGTGATAATACGAGTCAGAAACAGATTTGTCTATAAAATCAAAATATTGTCGAGTTATTATGATGATAATTCTTAACACCATTTTTTTAGCAAACGTTGCGATGAGTGTTAGACCTTGTAAAGTATATTATAATATATGAATATTATATATATCACAAATATGAATTAACTTTTATCATCTTTCCTTTGAGAATTCCTGTCAAAATCTATCACCATTTGAATACACTTTATTCTAGATTCTAGAAGAAATGGATCGACGTTTTTTTAATTTGTTCTCGTAATATTTGTAATATAATTTTATTGCTAATCAATTAATTTTAATATTTTTATTTTCATCTATCGCATTTCAATTTCCAAAAAAATTTGGAGTAATCCCTAAAAAATATCAAAACGAACTGGGAAAGGTTTTAATATCCCGTGGATAACTCCGCCTATCGAGAGAATAACCGACATCTGCCATCTATTGAGGCCCAAGCAGCTGCAGAGAAAAACCATTTATTTTCCTATCGATGTCAACCATCTACAGCGAATTCGAGATGCAAAAAGCAATGATAACAGAAACTCTGTGACATGTATCTGTGGTATAAAATAGCTATTTTCAGTTCTTTCATCAATGAAAAGCATCCGGTTCCAGTTCAAACTCAAGGGTGAATAAGAATAAAATTGAATAACATTCACCTTCACTTTCATGTCAAAGAAAATTCCCTTGTAACCCGAGTCGAGTGCGTTCTAAAATCAGTGAAAGCTAATGAATTCGCACATACAGACAGCAGTGCCCACAATCAAACAAAATGAAGTCGACGAATCCCCCAGTTATCGCGGAATAACCAGATGGTAAGCGGGCAATATTCATCCGAGACATTCGTCATACCAGATAAATAATTCTCAACCATTATAATTATCAGACCTGCCTGTGAATTTTCATTTGTCACGTAGAAATTCCGACGTTTAGTAAATAGGAACAAGTGTGCCGGGTGATACATATATATCTCCTCGAAAAGATCAACAGCAACAATAAATTTAATGAGCTATAATAAGGGACTAGTTGAAAGTGAAAGTTATAAAATATTTCGTAGAAAATAGTTGAGAAACTAATAGACTAAAAAATGAATTAGTGCTGAATGACATTAATATAACCGAGTGAACAAACTGGTGAATTTAAAAAATAATAAATAAAATTGTGTGCACATGAATGAAAGATTTAATCAACAGCTAAAATCCATTGGTAGATTTGAAGAGACAAGTTGTCGGAATGTTTACGTGTTAAAACAATAGAAATTTAAAGGATCACAACACGAATGACCTTGAATGGCCCAGGGCTCACGTGACCGGTAGAGTTGAGTGAGAAGGAGTGGTAACTGCGCCGTGCGCGCACTTCACCGGGAAATTTCAGTTACATATATGCCAATATACCTGTATATACCGTACATTTTTCCTCATTCTCGATTCTCGATTCGCGTTTCTCGATTTTGTTCTCTCTCCCACTCTCCGTCATCCGGTATTCCTCGGAACAGAAGGGAGTGCGTTGCGTTTGCGCATGTGGTTATGCGCTTGCGCTGTGCACTACTGCTTTCTTTGTGTCCTCACAGCGTACACACACGTTAATAATTTACATGAAGTCACATACGTAGTTGCCTCTGTTGTCTAGCCTAGCCGAGGGGTCCAGAACAGTGGCGTACTGTAATATCGCATCTCTTCTCTCATCGAATGAAAGTGGTGGCTTCACACACCCTGAAGTATTGCTGAGTATTCAACGACGTCAAGTGACGTGAAACGAACATTCACCACTGGTACATCAGTGGTATTGAGCTGGTAATTGGCTCGATATAATAATAGTGGTGTATGACAACGGTGGTTGTATTGGGACTCATCGAATTGCGCTTCATCGCGCTATTCGGCGGTGTGAGGCGTAGGTTTTAACGTTGCGTTGAATACAACATACTCATATTGAAAGGGCCATTCAGCCACTGACAAAACTTGTTACGAAGAATATTTGTATTGTAAAATTCAATTACAGTGAATTATTGGAATTCAATCGTCGGTTTGGCCCCGCGCCGTTTAATTGCATTCCCATATATGTGGGTGTCTCAGCATCAGAGACGCGGGAGCGTTTTGTGTTGTTGTGATACAGTGGTGGTAGCGACATCCACGAGTAAAACTAAAACGATAAACATCACGAATAGAGAAACGACGACGGCAACGGCGGTGGCGGCGCCGCTGTGTGTTGTTGTCGCACGGCCTCCAAGATGAAGTCCGACTCGAAACCTTTGTTGACAGCACAAGCGGAAAAGGCCAATCATTACACGTAACTATCCACACCATTCGATATTTATTACTTCACCACACACTTACCATCCTGTCCCCATCATTTCCTTTATGAAAAAATCTTGTATTTAATCTTGAGAGGAATTATCTGTTGATTTTCATATCCCCCTAATTCTTTGTTGCAGATACTTGAAGGAATTCCGTGTCGAGCAATGCCCACTATTTATCCAACGAAAATGCACACAGCATCGACCATTTACTTGCTTCAACTGGCACTTCATGAACCAGCGGAGACGCAGACCAGTTAGGAAAAGGGACCGCACTTTTAATTACAGTGCTGATAATTATTGTACTAAATACGATGAAACTACCGGCATATGTCCCGACGGAGACGAGTAAGTTTTTATTTTTCATAGATATTTCATGTACGCGACATACCGACTCTCGTTTTTTTCATTTCTCTTGAGGATCCCTGAGTCGAGGATTTATTAGCTATTTCTACGGTTTTTCATCGCTTCAATGACCGCAACCGCCACTCACTCAGACTTTTTCTTGGTGTATTATTACCACGTCTGAAATTCATTTATTACAAAATTGTTTATGTACGCTTCCTTTTCTTGCTTTTTATTTACTTGGATTCATTCGCCATGAGTCACCTGGTCGCTAATATTTCGGTGTAAATAATGGGACTGAAATTGTCGAGCAATTGACGTTCATGTCTCGCTTGGAGTGAGAATTTTTCGTGCTGTGTGGATAGGATATATTTGAGTCCCTGTTGCTTACCACTCGCATACCCACTTATAACCTATAACAACTGCTCGTCGCGCAGGGGACAAAGAGATGTTGCAGTCATGACATGTTCGATATGTACAACTTCATAGCTTCCCATTGACTATTCCCATGAATTCATAAATCCGTGTCATCGCTGCGGTGATAATATATTCATTATTTGTTCCATTTATCGACAGTCGTATGTTTCAATTAAACCTCACATCTGCTACACTAGATCTTAATCTCCTGGGATTAATGATCTATCCACGTGTTAATTGAATTTTTCAACAAATTAATATTATTTCCACAACGACCTTTTCACGACAATAATATTGGGAATTGGCTCCTTCAATTAGCAAAATCATATTGGAGCATTTGAAAAATAATATCTGTGTCATTAAAAAAAAATATATATTTCTCCCCTTTATGGAAAAATCGTTCTCCTTGTAATTTATTTTTCAATAATTGTTTAATTAGCATTTGTAAGCGTACGCCGAGCGAATAACAACAGGATGTCATTATAGACACGCTAATTTTTCCCTCCAAAAAGTGGTTAGGAGCTCGCGCGTCAGGCGGGAAGCTCAAACAAAGAAGCCCGTTGGTATTGATTTTTCTTGTCACACTGTAGCAACAAGGACTCATCGGGTACATGCTCCTCTTTGTTGAATTGGGCAGGGAATCATTTTTATGACGTGAGAATGGTGGCACTGAATATCCAATCATTTTTCGTATTTTCATTTTCTTCCGCGACTTTTTCCTTGATACCCTCCCACTCAAAACGAATTGTTTCTTTATTTCACATGCTTCAAAAATCGAAAGATGCAAAAATTATAGTTTATTAGTATTTATAAAATTTTTTAATTGAAATTTCTGCGCACAATGCAATAAAACGAGCAATAGTTCAAATCTTGAAATATTTCATTATTTATTTTTTGGTTCTGAATAAATTTTTTAATTATTTTCCTGACATAATAGCGCAGTTATGGGTTTAGTATTTGTGTAATTGTTTTTGTTTTGATGAATGAAGAAGCTCCGAATAAAGTTGTATCAAATAATTTCATAAGAATGTCGTAGGTCTTACGAGAGTGAACAGATTTTCGTTTATATTGCTGGAAAATAAAATCATGTACAATTGGCGACTCGTCACGCACTACTCTACGTCTTTCAGTATATTGATTTGTTTTTCGTATAAATAGATTGACATTTGAATTGATAGGGAAAATAAATAATGAAAGGGAGTAATGAGACTCATGTTTATTCCCCAGGTGCCCATTTCTCCATCGAACAGCTGGAGATACTGAGAGACGTTATCATCTACGATATTACAAGACTTGCATGTGTGTGCATGATACAGATACACGTGGTTTTTGCGTTAAAAATGGGCCACATTGTGCTTTTGCCCATGGTAATCACGACCTCCGTCCTCCAGTATACGACATCAAAGAAATTCAAGCTTTGGAGAATCCAGACTCAGACCCAAATTCATCGTCAAATGGACCAAATATTTTGGATAAAGAACGAAACTTGATGAATGAGGATCCCAAGTGGCAAGACACTAACTACGTTCTTAGCAGTTACAAAACGGAGCCCTGCAAAAGACCTCCGAGGCTCTGTCGACAAGGCTATGCTTGTCCGCAATATCACAACAGCAAAGATAAACGTCGTAGCCCAAGGAAATACAAATATCGGTAATTAATAATTAATACGTCATTTATAGTATTTTTTATATCCCCAAGAATGATGTTAATGATTGATTTTGAAATATTAGCTCAACACCCTGTCCAAATGTCAAGCATGGAGAAGAATGGGGTGAACCTGGTAATTGTGAACAGGGTGATGCCTGCACATACTGTCATACTCGCACTGAGCAACAATTTCATCCAGAAATTTACAAATCAACCAAGTGTAATGATGTTCAGCAGGCCGGGTATTGTCCTCGTGGAGTCTTCTGCGCCTTCGCACACGTTGACCGTGAGTTTATTTTTTACAATCGTACGTGAACAGAATTTTTTACCGTCAAATTTATTATTGAGCGATTATCAAGTTCCATACACGATGAAATATTTTCGTCTGCAAATTTATCTTTAGACGATGTAAAAACTTCTCCACCAGTGTATATCGCACTCATTACAATGCAAAACTAGCAATTAAAGTAAAGTTTCATTTGCATTGTAATGACTGATATTGGCGTGTAGGGGAGTCTAAAAACAAATGTTCAACAAAAACGGTAGGAAAAATGATAAGAGGATTTAGATGAAACAATTTATGACTTGATAATTATTACAAGCCTTATCGTCGTCTTAAAAATTAAATATATCGTCTTGAAAGTTAATATTCATAAATTTGCAATAAATTGGCGTGTTTATGGGAGTTAGACTCCTCTGATTATTAGAAATTAATACTCATAATATCTTAATATAATGACCACTACATAAAAATCTATCCTTTCTAATTTTAACGATGCTTTTATGGAAATTGATGCAATGCAAAATTTTTATGATTTGGCTGATGGAGCAGTGTTGTCAACAGACGAAATGAGTCTGGCCCGGGATCTGGCGGCACCTTTAGATTGTGGTACGAATCTGGCTGATATTCTCAACAGCGCTCTCCCACCTGATAAAAGATCAATGGAAAAGGAAAAGCCACAAAGCGACAGCAGTGTGAGTATAAAAAAAATTTTTTTAAATAATCACATGCTTAGCCAAGCAGTTGAGTCTACTGAACGCCACTCGAATTATTTGGAAGATTTGAATGAACGATCTAATGATTACTGTTATCAGTTTCCACCATTGCAGAATGGCAGTGGAGAGGTTTCTGAGTCTGCTAGTACAAGTAGCCTCGGAAGTAATAGCTCTCATAGTAAAGCACCTGGAGCACAACTTCATAATTCCAGTGCAAATTCTGGAATGAATATCTCATCACAACCAAAGCTCAGCAATATGCTTTACAATTCTGCCTCTCTTTTACAAATTGTAAGTTTTCAACGCGATTCGGGGACTTGAATAAAAATAATTAATTTATTAATTATAAATGCAATTTGGAGAGAGTTTTATAATATTTCAAATTGAACAGTCAGGTTGTAATATTCAGAAAAAAATATAGAAAAGCATTTTAGATGAAAACGATGTATTGGGCTTATGTCGACTAATGTATGATGATGATTATTGTATGATAAATACTACTCTTTATTTACAGAGTGAAATTCGAAAGCAAATAATGGCTATAGAAAATGATCCATTATTAACAAAATCGGAGAAGGCGCAGCGCAAACAAAATATATACATTGCCTACGGTCTGAATGGATCATTGGGAAATCACGGATTAACATCAACGGTATCTCCACTATCAGCCAATTCATTTTATGGAAATGATACCGTAGAATCTGTTGTCGGGAATGCATTGGATGAGTTGCATTTGGACGATCCATTGAATTTAGTTGATTCAATCCATAGAGATTCAAATTCTCCGATCAGTAACTCGATATCCGCTGGATTGGCGAGCTCGGGTTTGCTCGGGAGTTCGGCACCAGTGAATATCCCAGGAATGGCTGAACGTTCGGGACTCTCAAATTTTTCACCATCAACATCTAGCCCACTACAACAATTGCAATCAGCTGGTTTTCTAACGGGATCTAGATTCTCTCATCAAGATTCAATGGAATCAACAATGCCTTTCATGAGTCATTCCGTTTCAGATCCATTCAACAATCATATTTCACAACTCAGCAGCTCAGCCTCTAAATTAAGCGGTTTCAACAGTAGTTTATTTGATTTTGCTAATCAGGGCCTTTCACCATCACGTACACAAGCATTACCAGCATCTCCCCTGGTCAATGCATTCTCAGTGAGTCCGAGTAATACTGGATCACTCTCGGAATTACAGAGATTGAGGGAAGAATTATCGTCAAGTAGAGCTCAACTGGCGACTTGGGATGAAAGAATAAATCAAGCACGTGCGGCTTGTGCGGCCTGGCATTTAGAGAGCGAAGAGGCAAAAAGAAAAGCTTCAATTGCTGAACAACAGAGAGATGATGCTATCATGCAGGTAAAAGCCTTGAGAGTTGAAAATGAAGCTTCTAATAGCAATGGAGGCTGTATTCACACACTCAAAGGAACTGGCGAGCTGAGGAGTTTATCCATAGCTACATTAAAATCTATTCAATCGCAGTTACGACAAGATCTAGAAGAAGTTGAGAAAGTTCTGTATAGAGAGACTGCAACAAAATGTATGGTTTGTGAGGAACAAAATCGTGCTGTTACATTGTCACCGTGCAATCACTACGTGGTATGCTCGACATGTGCGCCTAATCAACGTGAGTGCCCTTACTGCCAGACACCTGTTGTTTCAACCAGTTAGGTCGGGTATTCCCTCGTGTCATGTCACTCATAGTTTATCAGACACGGGGAATACCTCTTTTCTCATTTCTGAGAATCAGCATTGTTCTGATTAATTAATCATTTGTCATAATGTATGCAGGATTACTGAAAAGAAAAAATACGTAGGACGGCTAAGAAACCTGCATTGAAAATATACATAATAATAATTGAAAAAAAAAAATTAAAAAAATCTGACGAATGTGCGTAAACGCAACAAGACAACAGCAGAGCAGCAGAGAATGATATGCTTAGGCTTAAGTCTATTTTCATCATCCATTGTAATAATAGATGATGTCACATTTTTCATTTCGTATGAAATTGCCAATGTCTCTGTAGGATGAATTATCCCAAATAAGCATTGCAGGGAGAATTATTGAATTTTAAAAGATATTTTTTTAAAACCCAAAGGATTTATAATTGCGCCAAGGAGACAAACGTAAATTTTTTTTTGGCTTCAATCTCTCTGTTTTTTTTCAACATCGTTTTTATCTATCGTACTAAAAAGGAAAAAACAAAATTAGGAATAATTATGTCTATGTTAATTGAGTAATTAGAGAGTTATAATTGTCTAATAAATTGAATTTGTGTGTGTTTTACAATTGTAGATTTAGCATAGAAACAAATTTTAGGATTTTTCAATTGAATCAAAATATAAAATAACTATATCTATTTTCACGCGCATTAACTCATTAGTGTTCCTTACAAGTACAGCATGTGCACACTAACGGAATTATATGAGTATTGAACTGCCATTGTTGAAATGGAAAAATTTTATGGAGAATATAATATTCGTACTAGAAGTGCTGTAATATTAGGCTACTCGGCTTACTTGTAATGACCACTTGTTCGATCAACTCATCACGAGCGTCATGTTTTTTTTTTGTTAATTTTCAATATTAGTGGACTCCATTCTTGACTAGAGGAAATTTATGGTATTAAATCAGGCGATCAAGATATCACTCGCTGTAACAGTATCCACTTCTTACAATATGAAATTCAAAAGAAGACGTTGAATAACGAGAATACTGAGTGTTGAAAAAATATAGGAATGATACTCATTCATTATAACAATAAATGAGAAATAATAACGATGATGATGATGATGATATAATATTATTAAAAATAAATAAAGATAATTATGAACGAGGAACACTTACGATGTTATATTACGTATGAATAGGAATATAATAATAATATTTTCAAGATTAAAATGAGTAATTATGGAGAAATTTTAATAAAGCAAAGAAAATAAATCATTGGCGTGTCTCGGTCAGTGAGATTGTCTCACGAGAAAATAAAACGAATGTTGCCTCAGCCTTTAGACAAAACATTTAAATATGCAAGAACTTACTGCCCGCATTGTTGGTTCTTTCTCAGTATAGTTCATTTAATTCATTCACGGACCAATTCATCCAATGAAACAAAAGTATTTTCACCATAAAAATATCAAAAGGAGAATAAATATCTCAAAGTAAACAAGCGAAATGTAAACGATAAATTTTTTATTCGTCGGCGTGAAAAATGTCTATCGCAATTTTTATCGTGAATGAACACAAAGCCATTGGCACAATCAATAAGGCAGAACTCGTTGAATTAATTGTTTTTCTTTATTTAATTTTGCAATTACACTCATATACTCAAAAATTACACGCTTCAGCCGATCTACTTGTGCAGATGATTTTTCTTTTTCATCTAGGGCTACATATTAAATACGAGGTCAAAATATTTTGGCTATAGATTTAATTTGAGGTGTAAATCTGGGAGGAGATGAATGATATGCAAGCAACTGACTAATGGAAGGATCATCTGCACGCTAGAGAATTACAGAAAAAAAATATATATATATATACACATATATATATATGTACGTCTATACATAATCACTAGATTACTATTTCCTATGAAGATAGGCAGTGGAGGAAAAGTTTAATATTGTATAAGTTTTGAAATTGATAGGACGAGTAATAGAGAAGGAAATTGAACAAATGATGATTAAAAAAATCTTGAGCGCAGAAACGTCATTATTGCATAAATATAACAATATTTATTGTTTTACAGAGATGTATGAATAAGAATCAAGGGACATATTCGCATACGGTGCCATGAAACTAACGTGTGACCAATGGAGTACATGTATTTGTTCAATTTGTGAATTAACGGCAAACGAAAAAGTTTTATATGGATCAAACTTCGCTCTTGATTGTGAATAATACTGATGGTCTTAATGACCGGCACTGACAAAGAATTTATACAATATCATAATTAAACCGTCTTCCGGAACATGATGTACGTTAGCCTGAGCAACACGAATGAAATTTAATAACATTTGAGAAATCAATTTAGGAGTCAATGAAAACAGCAGGACAATGCATGAATGTTCATCAATTAAAATTCTCATTCATTTATCGTGTGGAGTCAATGGAAAGAGAATGTGAAAGAGAAACATGAATTACAAATTTCTTTCGCCAAATTGTATATTATACAATTCCCTAGAAAATTATTCTATTAGAATTACATCGGGGATCTATCGAAATAATTATAAAAAATCAAAACTAGACTCGGTGGCTCACAGAAAATTATAATTCATTTTTTGTTAATTAAATTTTTTTCATACACGATTGCATTGAGCTTAGAATTCTCTGACGTCCACTGCAATTGATTATGAATTACATCCGATTAAAATCGTACAAGAGATTCCAAAATATTCCCAAATAATCAACGAAAATCACTCGTCATTCTAAGGATAATTTTGGGAAAGGGTGGTTATTTAAAAATGGTATAAGATAAAAAAAAATCACTTGAAGTAAAGATATGAATTAATACACAGATGATATATGATGTGCTTTTTATATTTTCAAAATCAATAAACGATAAAAGAAAGAACGATGTAAATGCTTGGCATTAACACTAATGCAGACAACAAACTTACGGTTTGGAAATAATTAATTGGGGTTTGTGAGTATTGTGGACTGGTTTCGCCATGTTCCATGTAAATTACTGGACATTGGATTTTTTACTAGGAGAGAAATATCCAGTAAGTGGTGGCTAGAGTAAGGATTCATTGGCTTATATGATGTGTGGGTTATGCTAAATGACTGCATTTGCTTACTCGTACATCAAAAATTGTAGCAGTCACAGTAAATGTTAATTGAGGATTCTTTGAGACCCTTCTGATTAATTGAAATTTTGTAATTTCCAAAGAAATTGCACAAAGGCCTTCATACTAAGAGAGGCTATTCAATCTCAATGAAAAATGGAAGATAGTACAAAACTTTTCAATAGATTATATCCCTCTCATTCCTTTGGCATTCCTTTATAAAATTCAAATTCAAGTCCATTACAATCTTTCATTTATCAATTATAAATAATATCTGGAATTCTGCATAATTTCGTCCTCACCCGACATAATTTCAATCACAAATGTCATAATAATAGACTATAAAAGGCCTCGTTGGCGAAATGCAGGGATTTTTTCCATCGCAATGGAACGAATCGTTTTGAAAAAAATAAAAGTAACAAATCACTGTAGCAAATTCTAATAAATGTCAGTACAAATTGATTCATACATAAATTGAATCGTTAATCGCACTAAAGAAGTGCAGAAATAATTATTACGAAAATAAAACTGAAGAATAATAATAATAATGTTGAGAACTTGTATATTATGTGAAATAATAACCGTGAAAATAGCCAATGAAAATAAACTATTTCACTATTTTCTCGACGACTGGAATAATTCTAGAACAAATTCCATTATTGCTTCTCATGCTATATTGTCATAGAAAATGTACATTAATAGATATTGTCAATGAATAAATTCAAATAACTAGAGCAATCGTATTTTTCATTACTCAAGTTTATGTGAATAATGTTCCATGGACTTTACGCACTCCTCAGGAAGAAACTCAAGAAAAAAGCAGTTGTGCGCATGCTCAGTCGAAGAGGATTGACTAAAGTAGAGGGTCAGTTCTGGGGGTGGAGTGACCTCAGCTGCATCGTAGTACTGCACCCCAAGAGAAGGAGGTCGCCACACACAGGGCTGGGGTGTCCAAGTCGACGGGGTGAATTTTCTTTTCTGCAGCATGAATGCTTTTTGGTTTTTATTTGTTTAACTGAAATTTAGCCGACTGTAAAATGAGCGGAAGGGGGAAACCACATCTTGTGGTATTTCAAATGAAAAAAATTATTCAGTATGTTGAAGATATACTACTAATGAAAATAGATTTTTATAATAATAGCGCGTTGTCACAATGGTAACGTGCTTGCCTACCACGCCGACGGCCCGGGTTCAATCCCGCCGTCAATCATTTTTTTTTTTTAATAATTCCAATTTTTTCTTTTATAAATGGCTAATCAATCGAAATATTGGTTGAAAACTGAATAGCTCCTCGATTGTCATGTTCCCCTAATACTTTTACAAAAATTTCGAATTTTTCACTTTCAGTGAAAATTTCAATGAATAGCTCCTCGATTGTCATGTTCCCCTGATACTTTTTCAAAAATTTCGAATTTTTCACTT